CACTTCAAGAGTCATATTTCTCAATATGGACAAGTACTCATTTGACGATCAGATACAAGATGTCAATCATTTTAATGTTAAAAAATCATCATAATCAAGCGTCATCTTCTGGATCCTTCTGACATGTTTATGTTCCAACTATATTACTACAAACAAAACTATATATCTTAAATGTGATAGCTAACAGGGACTGTGTCATGCATGGCTTGTTTTAGCATATAATTTAATGCCAATTATATATTTTTCACAAGAGTACAAGATCGTACTTTTCAAACACAATCTATACAAATTGTTAAAATGAATATCATCTACCAAAATAAAAACAAAACAATACTATTCTTGGGGAGAGGAAATGTTGGTAAAGTTGAACGTTTTTTTTTTTACAAGCAACTGTGTTATGACAATTTTGACTGCCCACATTATTGGTCGCGAAACGATTATTATTGGCTTGACTCTAGCGGGCAGTTTGGAATGCACAGGACCATTGTTTCTGTAAATGCAACATAAATTTGTTTTATATGATGATTTCAGTTAATATGGAAACAATATTTGTATATCGTTTGATCTTTGTCCCGTAGCTGACTTGGTAACCTCGAAGATATAAATCATCTGTTAAATCCCAGGTGTTGGCATAGTTACCTATTGCAATACTCGTAAGTTTGTGTACCATTTTGTAGTCAATAATTAACAGCTGAATGGACTCCGAGCCCAACAGCCATGGTTCTTTCTTCTGGTAGTTTTACTGTCTGTAATTGCGTAAGTAAAATAAGTAAGTAAGATATTTTGACACGGGAGTGAAATGATAGTACTGTATGGTCACTGCTGACCTGTAGAAATGGGCAGCAGACAACACGGAACAAGTAACGATTAACCTTGTTTTATCATTGTTCATTGAAAACAACACAATGAATGCGTAACTACACGTAGACAACGACACCAAATAGTTTAATATTAAGGTAGAAGCCTACTCACAAATGCAAATACCCATAATATAATCATTAAATAAATTACACTCCCATATATGGATATGGACTTTAAAAAGTCGCCAGCCCAATTTTCGAGAAAATGGTGGTTGTATTTTAGTGATTAGCTGCCATTTTGACAGCATTATAACGTTTTTACCATATGACAGAAATGTCATGCCATATCTTAATCTGTAGGCTGGACTGAGACATAGGCTGAAGAAATCATATATTGTTAAATCTGTCGAAAAATATAATTGCTTCCGGTGACACGTAGGAGTATAGGGCGAATCACTGCTTATAATATCATGACATAGGGGGCAATGATGGTAAGTGCTGAATTAATTATTATTTAAAAGAGACACCATCAGCAAATATTCTGATATCTCATAATATATCATCATTGTATTGCTTCATGTTGTATGTCCGCTATGTTTGTGTATGTAGGTGGACTGTAGTCTGTCCGCGCATCCGCCTGTCCGTCAATGACTGATCAACGTCATTTTGGCTTATTTTTTGTTCACCAATTTCTAATATTTTAAAATTTATACAGAAATTAAAAATAGTTATTGGTGATAAACTTTCAATTAAAAATTCTAAATTTAGCGTTCATAAAGCAATCATATATGTTTTTTTGTTGCATACCGACATCTTACCTTGAATTTGAATTTTATTCCAGCCACCTTCATTTGCTTATTCCGGTATATACGGTATATTCGCTGAGCGTGTTATAAACAAACCAATAACCGGACTTATTACACACGCCGATAAAAACTACATATAGTAGCCATACATAGAGCCAAAGTACCCTGATCCAGTTGTACAGCGAATAATACAGTGAAATAATTGTAAACACACAGTTGGTGCTCGCGTGGAATTTATAAAGGATAGCATTTACTCGCATAATACAATGACACTAAGTCACAATAATGACGGCTGAAAGTTTATTTCGAAATAAGTATTGTTAAGAAGTGTAATATTTCTGTCGATATCGAAAACCACTATGAGCCGTAACTGTTCAACCAACAAACGTCACCGTCAGTTACATAAATTAGCATAGGATTCGTAAGCGTGGTTTGTAAAACTACGATTTCTTTGTCGTTGGATTGGATTATGTAGAAAATCTCTTATTTGTGCATATTACTAGTTCTTAACCACAGCCAGCTGGCGTACATGTGATGATAAAATAAATTCAATTTATTTATCGATATTTACTCTATTGGGGTTGTCACCTTGAATACGACGAAAAACAAAATACATATTTTTCTGCGTTTAGTAATAATTATGTGAGAAGTAATAGTCTGAATTGAACGAAAAGTAATCGTGTCTACGCCTTTAATTGCGTTCAGTGAGACTATTCTATATCAGCCACACAATGTGTTCGATTGAGACGTTAATAGTACCTTGGAAAATATTCGTACGAATGGTGTTTGTAACTGTAATGTTCATATAGTTAATATTAAAACTTTCTTATTTTCTTCTAACAGAAATTCAAATCACAGTTGTCCTGTTATTGGATGTTATTATTACTATTGCTTTTATATTCATCTCCAAGGTATGTTTGTTTATTATGAGAGAGAGAGAGAGAGAGAGAGAGAGAGAGAGAGAGAGAGAGAGAGAGAGAGAGAGAGAGAGATAGAGAGATATTATTATATAATGTTTTCGACCATCAAAGCCAGGTTTTATTATTTTATTCCTGTCTTTTACCAGATGTCAATCAGCTGATATCGATAGAGGAGTGACAGACAACATAGAAAGGCAATTGCTGCCTGCTGTACTTTTTCTATTCAACTCTTTTGATAGTAATGGAAAGGGATTGATCGGTTTCCATGCAAAACTAGTCAAGGATATAGCACAGCGAACAACCGTATATTGCCTTGTCCTCGAGGCAACTGAAGAACAGAGAGCAGATGCGAAGATGGCAAATGTTGTGTTAATTGAACCACAATATATACATAAGTGTGTAAATACAAACCCAAATGTTGACTGGTTTCTTTTATACAAGTCTTACTTTCCAGAGTTAGAAACACTGCCCCATAAAATAACACATGTTGTAGGATATTCGCCAAAAACAGAGGTTGAGGCTGAATTCATCCAGGAGGAGGTTTTTCCGAATGCACAACTAGTTTTGATCAAAGATTTTCTGCGCAGCAAAAACGGCGAATTGCAAGTTATGTATAGTTTACAGCAAACAATGAACAAATAAGCCATGAATGCTACAGATACAGATATGAAAACAACTACTAAGTAAAATCTGGAAGATGTTCTTCGATGCACAATTGTGCGTAGATGGTCGTACTTCACACCACGAGATTTGTATCGCAGTGAAACCTAACATTCTCAAATCAATCGCAATATGGAAAGCGATCCTAACGACTTGTTAACATATCTATTACATATTCACGTGTCGATGGTTACAAACGTGCAACATGATTATGGTTTTGTTGGCTTGCAGGCTTTAGCAGTTGACAATTCCCATGTTAGTTGTTGTGAGGGCAGAATACATTGAAAAACTTATCCCTGAACTTGCAAGGACACTGATTATTTACAAATTTACTGGATGGTCAGTTGCGATAAAAATGTGCAAAAACCGAGAAAACCAGAAGTTATGGTGAAGTTTCTGCTTTGTTTAGTGCAAACTCAAAGTATATAGATGTGAATGAAATTCAAGGCACAGTACTCGATTGTGACGCAATTATGAAAAGAAGATTGGATAAGGGTTTGATGATAACGATTTCAGTGGTGTGCTTCGTATCGCTCTTCAGTTTTTGCAGCTTTATCTCATGACATTTTTCTGTACTAACCATTTGTCACCATAACCCATAGAACACATTGTGAACACTTGAAAAGTTGCATTTCACATAATCATAATGTTTTGTTTAGATTTAAAGTCAAATTACAGTGTCATTACTTTAGTTTAAATAACCTAAATATTAGTTGCAAGTATCAACCCACACTTTTTTTTACATTCTTCAATATTTCTGGAAATGAATCCATGTGTTTTAGACAATTGACCTTTTAACTGCCCACATTGATGGATATCAGTTAACCATTTGCAAATCTAGTGTTTTACAATTTAACGTAACTTTTTAATAATCTACAATGATTGTTCTGTTTTCACTTTCACAATTATTTAAAATTATCTTGCTTGTCCTTTGGAATGAAGCATTTCAAACCATATTTTTAATTTTGAGCACGATTTCCCTAAAAGAATGATCATTTTTTTATTACACTACGTGATAACTTAAACTTTATTTTGATTGACACTAATCCTTCAATTTATCTTACTTTTCTTACTAATTATGTAATCTTGATTTTTGAATATTTGTTTACACCTTCACCGACTGAGACATGATTAAATCCGATCAACACAACTAATGAACATAACCTAGTTCTGATTAACGAAACCTTGATGAATTATGTCATCATATATTCAGTTATTAGATGTGGTGATAGAAATATAACTTAAATAGTCATCAATTTTAAATCGGATGCTAGTGTGATTGAATCCTACCTTGGGGGCGCTTTGTCTATCATTGATCGCAAAATTGTTTGGCTGATCTGAATTATGATTGGTGTTCCCATTAAATTACTCATACATCGTATCCATATAAAGCCAGTTTCTCTCTACAGGTTTAAAGATAAGAATGACCGGTGACTAGACAAGCCATGTAAAGTAGTGGCAAAATGTGAAACTAGAGTGCAAAGGAATGGAAAAGAGATGCAAAGTGTAAAACTGGAGTGCCACGCAGAGGAATACTGGTGCAAAATGTGAAACTATACCGAAAAGTAGTGGAATAGCAGTTCAGAGAGTGTGGTGCAAAGTGTGGAACTAGAGTGCAAGGTAGAAGAAAACTGGTGGAAAGTGTGCAAAATGACAATGTATGGTACAAAGTTGTGGAAAATTGGAGTGCAAAGTAGCGGAAAAGTGGTGTAAAGATGAAACGAGAGTGCAAAGTAGCGGAAAAGTGGCGTAAAGGTGAAACGAGAGTGCAAAGCAGAGGAATAGTGGTGCAAAATGTGAAACTATAACGAAAAGTAGTAGAAACTGGTACAGAATGTGAAACTGTGGTGCAAAGTGTACAACTATATTGCAAAGTAGTGGAAATGGGGGGCAAAATGTGACACTAGAGTGCATCGTAGTGGGAATATGGTTGAAAGTGTGAAATGAAGTGCAAAATACGAATATCCGGCGCAAAGTAGTGGAAAAGTGGTGCAAAGCGTGAAACGAGAGGAGTGAAAATGTGCTGCGAAACTAGAGCTGACTGTAAAATGTTAGAAAACAGTGTGCAAAGTTGGGAAAAACTAAGAAAATGTTGGCGGAGTAGCTTGTATATTTAGCCTAAGTCATTGGCATGACAACCGCGCAGTTAAATTTCAAAAACATTAAGTAAATGTATAGAGAATGCCTCGTATATAAGCAGATTATCACAACAGTCAAGCGAAAAATCGACAACAAATTACTTACAAGGTTGTGAAAAGCGATTACAAAGTTAGTAGTTCCATTTGGGATTGTTATCTGTGATATCATATTAAAAGGTCCCATAGTTAAAAGTTATCGTAGTGTTACTCCAAGTATGTAGATGTCATAGGTCAATTCTAGAAGGTACCTGTGCTAGCAATATCGATTTTAAAACATCCAGAAGCATAAAATAGTCGCCAATTCGGCTTAATTTCAAATAATCTAGACAGTTGTGTGGTTAGTTCACTGACAAATGTTTAAAGTAAAGCACAATCGGGTGTGGTTAGTACTTGCATGGGAGACTCCCTGAGTAAACGCGCTGTTGATTTTTTTATTTCGTCACACATATGTAAAAGATATAAGGCAACGTTCCCGCATTCTTTCTTACAGTGATGTTAATCATTTATAGAGGAAATCGTTGAATTTTTGTAACAATTTTAATTAATGACAAGTTTTCAAATTCCTTCTAATTTTTAAGAACAAGTTGTTGATGCCGACGGCACGAAGTGGGATTAGAGCTGTTAACACACCGTGAAAAGTTGTTCAAAGTGATTGCAAAGTTAATGCAAAGTTGGTAAATGTATTTGTATATATGACCTAAGTTGTTGGCATAAAGAAACGCGCAGTTGTAAAGTTGACACATTTGATATAAGTCAGTTGAAAGCAGCCTATAGATGTTCACATGAACTGACTGTAAAATGTTAGAAAACAGTGTGTAAAGTTGGAAAAAAGGAAGGAAATGTTGGCGGAGTAGCTTGTATATTTAACCTAAATCATTGTCATGACAACCCCGCACTCAAATTACGAAAACATTGAGTAAATCTATAGAGAATGCCCCATATATAAGTAGGTTATCACAACAGCCAACCGAAAAAGCGACAATAAATTACTTACAAAGTTGTGAAAAGCGGTTGCGAAGTTGGTAGTTTCATTCGGGATTGTTACCTGTGATATCATATTACATGTCCATAGTTAAATGTTCGAA